ATCCACTACACAGATGAGACTGTCAAAAAAAATCAGTTCATGCACATCTAAAATGTTTCTAATCCTGTGTATTTTACAGACATTGAGCTAAAGGATTAATGTGGTAGTACCAGAGGGTAATTCCCTACACATTGCATAACATGTTTGCTTCAAACTTTGGTATTAACTGTTGGAGTCAACTCTGTTTGTTAACAAAATATCTCATGAACCACCAAATAGATTTTAGTATCATTTTTTATATAGTAATCATTAGATATACTACAACTTATTAACTTTTGGAGTCAAAACYCCAACATATTTAATCTGCCACACCAAAGGTATTACAGCTGGGCTATTCAACTAAACTGCTCTGGGGGCCACAGTTACTGCTGGTCAACAGCTGAGGGGCCGAACATCCAGCAATTAAAGCTATTATGTAAATAAACTAAGTATTACAAAGATCTCTTACCTTTGAATTAGTTTATTTTGCTGCATTTAACCATGAATACAACATACAGAACCCTATAAAAGTAGTGATAATTACACATTATCAAAAATAAAAAGAACACATTATGCCTCCAATTACTAGACACAAATAATATATTGACATCTCTGACTTGCCAAATTTTTAAACCAATTTTATTTTCACTTTCATCATTTTATCTTCAACTGATTGTAGTTTTAACAGTCTTGAGTGTTTATAGAAATGGTTTTTACCAGCTTCTAGCCAAGATTCTGATGTTTCTGTAGATATCAAACATGTCTAACTAAAAGAACTTAGAGTAATTAAAGTAGAAAACTGTGGGTTTGGGCTTAAGAGATGAATAAACCAATTGGTGGGTCGAACTTTGGTCAATCGCGGGTCGGATGTGGCCCACGGGCCGCCGGTTGAATAGCCCTGTATTACATAGTCACGTTTAGAGAATATGATTTTTTTTTATTGAGCTAAAGTTTGATGTGGTAGTAGCTGACAGTCATCCTTATCCTGAACACTATTTCCTGAGATCCTGCAAAAATACATCAGGTAGTGTACAATGTTAATCCAAGGTTTGACCAAAACAGCCTTTCTCGTCAGTCCCTTCTCATCATGACGACTTTAGTTAAAAACTCTGGCACAAAAGATGGCAGGGATGTGCATACCTTCGTGGAATGCTCAGCCTTTAATTAGTGTTTGGGTTTTTACATCAGTTAAACACTAAATTAAACAAAKAAAATTTCCTCTTCTAATTTTTTTTTTATATTTCTTTTCAGGAACGCTGCTATATGCCCATCGACGTTGTGGACCAGACGGCGYTTCTCTTTGAGATGGAGAGCAGCATCGTGCATCAAGATTCTGATGAGGCTCGAAGACTGACAGTCAAGCAGGGACTGACTAAAGGTGCTGGAGATATTAACGCCTATTTGTAGCTTGGATTGCATGTTGCRTGTTACCCGGTGTAGTGCATGATAGGAACCAGTAGATGTCACCTTCAAATGATAACAAAACACAATATGCAGTGTTTACATATAAAAGSTTTTGTTTTCTGATCAAGCATAATTTGATTAAATCTCTAATAATATCTAGAAAACACAACAACTGACGCAGGAACAAAAACAGATGAGGTTCGCTTGGAAACCCCGGTAAATTAATATATGTTTGTTTCTTTTTACATCAAAATGMTATTGCTTTTTGTTTGGTAATTCATTGATGTTTTCTGTTTGTCCTGATTAAACTATATATGTAAACGTATTGATCTTAAAGCAAGAGTACTTTAGTTACAGCATTCCTCCAATGTTTTACCACAGGCTACACCTGTGGAGGACGGAGAAAATGTAGAAGAAGCTGGAGAGGAGGACAGAGCAGACAGTGTGGCCTCCAAAGCTGACATGACTGAACCAAAACTTAAAAATCAGTTCAACTTCATTGAAATGGCCAGCCAGACTCTAAATCGTCCTCAGATGGTAGGAAGGGAGCAGCATGTCCAGTGTTTTCCACAAAAGTTGAAACATTTGACACATTACAATTAGAGTTCATTTTATCAMATGTTTTAAACAAGGAATCATTTTCCTTTACCTGCAGGATAGAATYTGCCAGACTGAACCCCTGCAGTACAGCAACTTCTCTGCCACCTGTAATCAGGTTCTGAATTCTTTGATCTATAAAGTGATGTTTGTCTTAGAATGTCTTCTTTCATTTATTTATTATTATTTTTTAACTTTTCTTCATTTTTTTTTTTAATTTAATGTTGATAATTCTAATCTCTTGGCAGTGGGTGATTTATGACGCGTACACTGAAGAGTTGAAGAAGCGAGAACAACATAAAGAGGAGCAAGACACAACACAAGCAAAGAAGGATGATGACAAAATCAAAAACAAGATGGTCGTGGCAGAAACACAAGTACTTTGTTATTAACTGTTTACTAATTTTCTTTACATAATGTGGTTCGAGTGCCAACATATTCACCTACAACACATTGGTGGGAAACTTAAAAACTTTKCTTTTTCCTTTTTAACAATGCAATTTTCAAACCTAACAAAGAGCAGACAATTTAATATAAATTTCACCAAAATGTYTTACTCAAATGACAACGTCCTCAAAAACCAAATGGGATCTGAAATTTTCTCTCGAGTTTTTTTGATGTATTTGACAACATATTTTGATTATATCAGTTACAGACTGATGGTCTCACTAAAGTGGCCACAGCAGCCAAGATCCTCGAACGAATGGTCAACCAAAATAACCAGGCTGAGATATTTCACGGTATTTTGAAATCTAACAACTGATATAAAAARGTTATAAATTCATTTTTGATGAGCAGGTAAGCAGTTTTTTGTTTTGTCCTCTCACGCCTCTTCAGATTTTAAATACTATGAGGATCCCGCTGATAAGTACAGGGACAAGGAGGGCACTCTGCTGCCTTTGTGGAAGTTCCGATACGAGGAGGCCAAAGAATTGACCGTTACTGCCCTCTGCTGGTACGTTGCCTTATCGATGCTGCAAAAAAAAAATTCTGTATGGCGTTAGTGGAACTGAAATTTATGTTTATTTTACTGCCACACAAAAATGAGTGTTTGGGTCATTTGTTCTTAACAGGAATAGCAAATATAAGGACCTGTTTGCTGCAGGAATGGGCTCATGTAAGGACTATAAACAGAAATTGATTACATTTTTTTATTACACATTGGATTATTTTTGCTGTGTTGTCTTGTGTTTCTGCCCTGGCTAGATGATTATGGTAGACAGGCACAAGGCATGCTGGTCTTCTACACTCTGGAGAACTCCCCTCGCCCTGAGTACATCTACCCTACGACTTCTGCCGTTCAGTGTCTTGACATTCATCACCAGCGCACCCATTTGGTGGCCGTAGGCTTCTACGATGGCTCTGTGGCTGTTTACAATTTGGAAAAGAGGGGAAAGGAGCCTGTTTGCCAAAGTACTGCAAAGACTGGCAAGCACACAGATCCTGTCTGGCAGGTGACTGTGTGTGTGTGTGTGTGTGTGTGTGTGTGTGTGTGTGTGTGTGTGTGTG